CCCATTATATAAAATATTACTATAATATTTGGCAATATATTATCTCCTATTTTACTACATGGAACTATTAAGTAGTCCCTACAGTCAACCATATTTCGTTCTGCATCACGTGTCCCTGAGCTTTCCCAACCACTCTTAAAAAGAATCATAAATACCTGTTGTTCAAATTATTTTCTAAATTCTATTGTTCCCAACAGCAAAGATCATGACATCAAATAATATTTGCATCTCATTTTCTTACATTGCTAGAAACACTTCCTGATGGGGGGATAATTTATGTAAGTATACTGGATCCTGCCATCAAAGCTGTCACTCATTTCTCTACATGCACTACATGGAAGCTAGTGTTTAATTACTCTTCTGTAAACCAGATACAGGCTGTTGGTTATTAAAATGCTGTAGGAGCACACAAATGTGATCAATACAAAAGCATATTAAACTGTATTTTAACTGTTCATATATCAAGTGGATTCATTTGCTTTTGTCCCTTTTAATGTCATAATAATTGCTGTTAAACATAAAATAGCCAAAAAGAAAGACAATGCTTTACAAAGACAATGCTTTACAAAGACAAAGACAATTGTAAAGAATTGTGGATCCACATTTTTGTGAACAAGTTTAACAAAGAAATGTTTAAACAGCACCACAGGTGACTACAAATTCCTAAGACTAAATTCAGAAAATATTAGCACTCCATTGTTAGGATTCATATTACTGGCTTCCCATAATATTTGACAATTTTTGGTTCCTGATGATTGTTAATAGGACCACAAATTTATATAACATCTTACTGATTCTTAATAGAACAGAAGTCAATACAGATTTCATTGAGTTCATCAGGAACTCTTTGTTGAGTTCATCAGGAACACAAGACACATACAAGTCACCACTTCTATTTTTCCTCACAACACCACTGTGAGGTAAGTAAGGTGAGAGATTGAGACTAGACCACAGTCAATCCCTGAGCTTTTGTAGCTAAGGTAGACTAGGACTTGATGTCCTTGCTTTCAGTCCAGTGTCATAATGTCACTGAACTGGAAGTTAATAATCACATATTACGTATGTAGCCTATTTCCACATGGAATAGAATGTGGGGAGCAGAGTAGACTGTTCATCTTCAGGCTCTAACATGTTTTTAGAGTCATCTATATTTTTTAAAAATCATGCAAAATAACAAGACTTCTATTAGTCTAGCCTATTATTTCTTACTCAGAATCTAATTTTTGTTTAAAGGAACATTAAAACATTCACTCTTGTTCGCAGTTGGATGTAGTATATTTCTACAATCTCAACAGCTATAGTTTGATTCAGATCTAACATGGCTCAGTTTATAAAATAGACATGCATATACAATATACCCATGGACAACCTCCTTCTTTGATGAACTATCACTTATATGTAGTCCTAAATCTTATCTTTGGATCAGATACACCTAGCTTTGTGGCAATTCCAGGCTAGAAGTATTGCATTTTAGAACATGTAATTCATTTCTAGATTTGCCCTGATTAACATACCAGCTGTATTTACTCATTGAGACTAAACCAATTAATTACAGTTAGAAGAGCTGGTTATGAAAAAGTCTGTAGGAGTAAAAGTGTCTTGAAGGCTTGAGATGAGCCCCTAAGCTAAACTTACTGGTAATTGGAATAAAAAATAGATATAATCATCTTTCTCACATGAAATCAGTAATAGGATGGGAAGCAATGAATTATACTAGCACTTGGGTCTCACACTGCAAGTTGTCTTGTTTTGAAGGTGTAAAAACCAAAAATCGGTGAAGACTTTTTGCTGCCATCTGCTGTTACGAATGCATAGCTCTAACCAACCTGTTCATTGTTTTCCCAGTTGTCAAAACATGACTGCAGCGTTTCATTTATGCCTCAGATACATACCGTTATATAAAAATAAAAAGACTGAGATCCAAATATCCATATTAAAGTAGAAGCAGAGTAAATGAATACATGTGCGGACACACAAATCTTCCCATATATATGCCTGGCTGAGGAATTCTGGGAGTTGAAGTCCACAAGTCATAAAAGGGCCAAGTTTGAAGACGCCTGGTCTAGACTGATAGGACTAATTCTCAAAACCAGTGACAAAACATACATGATAGAAATATCTTTTCCACTCTGTCATTTTACTTCAATTACTAACTAAAAGGCTAAAAATGGTAATTAATATTATTGTTACATAATTCCTTCATCCATTTCAACTAAAAGCATATACAAAATAGCCTTCTTAAACCAGATACTACTTTTTCTGCATAAAAGCAAAAGGGATCATTTTGTAGCATTTTCATTTCAAAACATTTTGCTCAATATATTTTGTTTTAAAACTATAGAGATAAAAAATAAATTGGGTCTGAGCATTTGATTTATTAGGCTCTGTTTTGCTGAAGTGTTAACTAAATACTATAATCTTTTGCAGTGCCATATTCCAGCAAAAGTTAATTTCATACAAGTTGTATTAGTCAAGAACTCATCACTTCAGTATTTTTTTCTGCCATATGTGAATTGCCCAACATTTTCAGCTTGATCCCACCAACTTCCCATCTTGATAAAGTTATCAGTTTTCCACACTTATTAAGAAAGTCAGAGTTATTCAGGCTGGGCTCATTTTTCCTTTCTAGTTCATTTCCTTCTCTTTTCTACTACCTCGTAAAAGGTAGTATCAGAATTGCAATAACCTCTAGGTCTTTAAATTCATAGTTCTATTGACTATTCCAGTGTTTCCAATTTCAGCAGCCTTAAGATGTATAGACTTTGACTCCCAGATTTCCTCACCAAGCCCAACCCATGCTGGCTAGGGAATTCTGGGAGTCAAAATCCATACATCTTAATATATCTGAGATTAGGAAACACTGACCTCTTCTGCAAATGGATTTTCAACTTCAGAAGCAAACTGATAAAACTGAAGAAGCAAACACACTAAAATACTACATTGATAAACTGTAGAATAAGTGCAGGAAACCTATCTTGTGTTTTAGTCAGATACTATGATAAAAATGTCCAATGTTTTTCTTTACTTTGCAGGCACAGAATTTCTAAAGTTAAGACAGAGTCATCTTTGCTTGGCATGTGCCCTATGACTGAACTTGGGCTTCTTAAAGTGTGCTCTTGAATAGCCTTAAGCAACAAGCATTAAAAGATATCTCCCAACTTCCTGATCTATTCTACCCTGAGCTTCATCACTGGGAAACAGGAGAAGACACAGGATGCATTGAACACATTTTACTACCATAGCTTGTATTTTGATTTCCTTTAGAAAAAAACAAAACAAGACTGTACAGTATTTCTTACCTCACATCCATCACAGGCAACAGGCATGAAAAACTGGGACCTCAGCATCCACAGAAGAAGTGTAGTCCTAAGAAAGACGGTTATTATTAAAGAGTTGGCATTTCATATACATTTATCTAGTATCTCTTTTTCAAGTAGATCCTGTTTTAAAATGGGAAGGAAAATAATGAAAATCTATTTCAGCATTTCTTTACTAAGATCAAGTCAAATAGCCTACACTATTTTAGTTTATAGTTCCAGATTCTTCAATATTTATTAAATGATCCATAAAACTCATAAAAACTCAGCAATACTGTTGAATTCAATAACTACTAAAAATAGAATTACAAGATGATCCACAGTGCTAGGCTTGGTGAAGGTATAGGTTAGCACATAGAGCCTACTAGCCTAAATAATGTGACTAGTAATAACTGAAAGGGCAAAATATGAAACTATGTAAGATTGTGCTACTTTCTTTTACCTATCCTTGTCCAAAAGCTACATAAATGGTCTTTTCCTCTGTGTTTGACTTTGCGTTAAGGCAAAAAAAGAAAAAAATAAATTTCTTTCCATTTCTTTCCCATGCTCATTTACCCACAAATCACCTGCTTTTTTTTTAGATTTATTCACATGTTGGATCACACATTATATTTAGTTTAATAGCCTATTAAAGACAAAATTGTTAGTTTTATAAGCAGGGACATATTGAAGAAACAATCCCCACCAAACTCTGGCTGAAAATCTAACTGACTTTGTCTGGGCTCAGAAATTTAAAAGGATCAAGCCTCCTATCAGTATATGGATAGGAGACTACCAGGAAACCTCAAGGCTATATTGGGAAGATAGAAAAACACTCTGAAAGAAGGTAGGGGGAAAAAAGTAAAAATTCATTTGCATTTTGCTGCCAAGAAAATAAGTAAATTCAAAATAAGCAATGGAGTCTAATTATTGAATGTAGAATTGATCCTCTCAGAATTCCCTCTAGCACATAATTTAAAGTTTAAGTCTCATGAATTGCATATAACCTTTAATCAAAAATACCAGTTTACCAAGCTATGAAATATTGACTTTAGAAATCCACAACAAGCTTTTCTGGGCCAATGAACTTTTGTTTCATATATTCTGATATGATAATATCTTACCTCAGGAAAACTTCAAATATTACCTGTCACAGACTTGAATAAAGATATTTGTTAATTTTTGCTTTATTTTAATTGAATGTTATATTTTAAGCCCTCATCTAAATTTTAAGGAGAAGTAACTTGCTCTATAAATATGAGACCCACCAAGGAGAAAACAAAATGAACTGCTTTTTTAGGACTGTTTATATACTCTTTCTAGAAAGTGTTTTCTAGCCTTAGTTAAGCTAGATAGCATACCATAACTTCATTGGCACCAACAACTAGGAATGAAGTAAATGTTAATTGATGACTTAGATGGCATTTTGCACAAGAACATTTATTCGTGTCTATTGGACCACATCTACTGGAACATTTATTTGTGTTTATTGTAACTTAGTTACAAAAATACCATTACTGCTTAATGGTATTGCCTGAACACATTGGCCTCCACAATCTTGTTTGTACAAGCTAAAATTAAATCGAAAAAAATATATATTGTGGTCTGTGATGTCAGATTAAGTAGAAAGGATAACTCTCTCCCATGTTCTGACATATTCCAATTTGTTTCAGAATGAATGGACAAATGTTGATTAATACTTACATCTCCTGAATCTGGGTACACTATTAGAATATCATCACATACGTGAAGAATGGCCTTATTTGTGCAATTGACAGCTAATGATTCACCTAACAGAAAACTGTCGGTGATATTAGAATCCAACAGTCCTATATCAACATGTTTTAGAATCAGTGTATAACTGTCGGTGATATTAGAATCTATGTTGCCGGAGGACCAGGTTAACTGTGACAACATCTTTATAATTCAGTGTTTTTTATAAATAACTTTTAACGGGAGTGGGAGGCATGATTAGAATCCAGTCATGGGATAAGGGGATTTTGCATCTCCCCTTATGATCCCAGATGATGATGATGATGATGATGATGATGATGATGATGATGATGATGGTGATGATCTTGTTTTCCTTTTTCTGCTCCTTCTCTTTCTTTTTCAATTATGGAAATATTGCTTGATTCAGCAATGCAGATTGAAACTTGGGGATACATATTCATTGATTTGAAGTAGTCCAGCAGTAGCATGCTGAAGCTTCCATCATGATATAATGATAAACGCGTTTCTAAGCCATATAAATACTGTAAGCTATAAAAATATTATGAAGCGCTGATAACAAGCTTATATTTCACTGAAACATTTCTCTCTTATAACAGAGGGGCTCACACTTAACAGAAGTTTTCTCTGACATAAAAAAGCAAAAAAATTATGTTCCCTTATATTGTAGAAATATTTTTAGGTTTTATAGATCTTACTGCTTAAATTACTTTTTTAAAAAGATGGGGCAAGGGTTGTCAAAGGCAACTGCTTTCTGTGCAGCCTGCCTAATTCTTTGACATTGTGCTAGCTTGCTGAAAGCCTCATTGCTGCCACTACTATCTAGAAGTGACCAAACCTCACCATGTATCCCTCTTGATGTTCCACTGAAACCAGTGAAAAGGGCATTCTTCCAAGAAGGACACAACTTGCCCACAAACTATTCCACTTGTCATAAAAACTGGGTGATCAGAGACTGCAAAGCTACATTATTTCAAAAGGACAAATCAGTAAATTTTATACCATTATTGACCTTCCAGAAATGCGAGGGGGCAAGGACATTTTAAATATAGTTTGTGAAGCTTTTATTTAAAAAGAATTTCTCCTGCATCAACTCTTTCAACTCTTTGTTGAAAGCTGCCGTGCTGTCCTTTCCTCAAACACGCTATATTTATCTTTCAACAAATTTAGAGGAAATATATCTGAAGAACCACTTATCCTGATATGAATCTACATGGACACCACCAGTACAATAGACCTTCTCAAAAAAGTTTTCATTTCCGACAATATGTTTATCAGGAAGATGGAAAAAAGCTATTCCTTGGGTTCTTCCCCTGTTTTGAAATGCATTTCTTCAGGAGCTGTACTCAGCCCCCACTTGTCTGCTTTTAGGAAAAGGATGAATAGCTTCCTCTTTCATCAGGCCTTTTTATTTTGAGCTAGCTGACACTGAGTTTAAACTGTGTGTGTGTGTGTAAGTGTTTTTTTTCTTTTTAAAAAATTCTTATTCCTATCTTGAGGACTCTATAGACCAGACATGTGAAATACAAGGCCCGGGGGCCGCATGCGGCCCGCCAAGTCATTTCATGTGGCCCGCGAAGCCATCCTGGAAACAGTGAGGGAACAGCCCCCACTGCCTTGGCCCTGGCCCAGGCCGGCCAGCTGGGAGCCAATGTACAATTTTGTGGTGGCATTGTGGGGCTGGGCTTGGTGCCACGGGTGCTCGAGGGCCAGGCTGGGCATTTGACCTCTGCTGCCCAGGGCTCTGGGCAGCCCACACTACCATATATCCCACATGACCTGAGAGGAACAGTGAGGCTCCTCCAGTGGACCATGCCTTGGCACTTGTCCTGGTCCCACCCCCTTCTGCCAGAGACCCTCAGATCTGTCCCACTCCTGCCCAGGCCCCCACAGGCACCAAGTAGGCCACACCCACTTCCTCCACGCCCACCCAGTAGGCTGCACCCACTCTGGCCACACCCACCCGGCCCCCCAAGGGCAACTTCAATGCTGATGCGGCCCTCAATGAAATTGAGTTTGACACCCCTGCTATAGGCAGAAAGTTAAGTAGAATAAAGAAAAAGCAGCAGCATTCCCAATCTGTTGACATTTGAATTATAGTGTTGTATTTCAAACTGACTAATTTTTCATTTTTTTATGTTAAAAATATTTATTGGGATTTATTTATTTATATTGGCCACCCAGTTCCAGTGGACTGAATTATTTAACAATGATATAGTGTATGCAGGTGTGTGTGTGTGTGTGTGTGTGTGTGTGTATGTGTGTATATGTACACACACACACACACACACACATATATATATCTTAAAAACAATCTTAAAAACCGATGACTGATTCCTGGGTGCATACATGGTAAGAATATAAACAAAAGTGAACACCAGGAAAGTAAAAAACTACAAAAGTTTTAATAAACTTAATAAATTTCACCGGCTCACTGCCGGCATCTTCAGGGATCTATGTAGGTCAACCTGAAGATGCCGGCAGTGAGCCGGTGAAAGCTTGGGTCGTAATTTATTAAAACTTTTGTAGTTCTTTACTTTCCTGGTGTTCACTTTTGTTTATATTCTTACTAGATAGATAGATAGATAGATAGATAGATAGATAGATAGATAGATAGATAGATAGATAGATAGATAGATAGATAGATAGATAGATAGATAGATAGATAGATAGATAGATAGATAGATAGATAGATAGATAGATAGATAGATAGATAGATAGATAGATAGATAGATAGATAGATAGATAGATAGATAGATAGATAGATATTAGGAGAAGCCCTCCTATTCAACAACCTCTTACAATACTAAACAACACAGTATCAGCAGTAGAGACCTTCAATTTTGTAGGTTCTATAATATCTCAGGACTTAAAATGGACACCTAATATCAAAAAATAATCAAAAAAGCACAACAAATAATGTTTTCCCTCACCAACTCAGAAAGCTCAGACTGCCCAAGGGGCTGCTGATACAGTTCTACAAAGGAATTATTCAGTCTGTCATTTGCACCTCTATAACTGTCTGGTTTGGCACAGCAACCATACAAGACAACACAGACTTCAATGGATTGTTAGAACTGCAGAAAAAACAATTGCTTGCCTTCCATTGAGGACCTGTGTACTGCATGAGCCAGAAAGAGGGCTGTGAAACTATCTACAGACCCCTCACATCCTAGACTGTTTCAACTTCTTCCCTTAAAACGACGCTATAGGATATTGCATGCCAAAACAACCAGACACAAAAACAGTTCCCCCTCCCATGCTATCACTCTGCTAAACAACTAATTCCCACAACACTGTCTTATGCCCTGGGATGTCAAACCACCTAGTACGGCTGTATTACTATTATTATTATCCTTCTCATTTTTCCTATTACCTATTTCCTTAGCTTCTTATAACTATAACTTTGTTATTTGTATCTCATGATTTATGTTGATTGCTCTTATTTAGTATTGTATTATGATTTTTGTTGATTGATTATTTAGTATTCTATGGCTATCATTAAGTATTGTATCTTATGATTTGTGATGATTGTATTTTATGATTATGATCATGATTTATCACTTGTTGCTTTCATTTACACTGAGAGCTTATACACCAGAGACAAATTCCTTGTGTGTCCAAACACAGTTGGCCAATAAAGAATTCTATTCTATTCTATTCTATTCTATTCTATTCTATTCTATTCTATTCTATTCTACTCTACCCTATTCTATCTTATCCTATCATATTCTATTCTATTTCTATTTTTATTCCTATTCTATTCTATTCTATTCTGTTCTGTTCTGTTCTATTCTATTCTATTCTCAATGCTCTTAATAAAAGCCTATATTATTATTTAAAATAAAGCTATATTTTTTTAAAAAATATATTATCTATGGATAAACATGGCTAAATTGTCAGTACGTGATCCAGAAACTTCAGCTACCACATATGGGGAAGTAAGGATGAGTAGAGGTCTTAATTACACATACATTACACAGAACTGAAGCAGTGAGAATCAGACAGACTTTTGCTGGAAAAGTGATTATTTTGGGAGCAACCTATATATACATTGACATTTCAAGAAGTGCTACAAGTGATATGTATCAGATGCTTATTCAAGATCACAATTACTGAATGTTTATCCTAACTCGGTATTACTTTAAGATGTCTTTGGCAGAGAAATATGTATAAAAGATGACTAAAGAATCAGGTAATAACTATAAATATAACCGACTGCTGAAGCAAAACAGACAATTAATTGGAAGCATCTAAATAATTTGGTAGGTAGACATTGAAATCTTTCGAGCCATTCTCCTTGGTTCAATTAATGTAAAACATGCAGTACTGACAGATGTAGAAGTCTCAGCCATCTCTACAGAGTATCTTTTTGTGGAAGGTGAGGAGGCGGCTACTAAAGCCAGGTGCAAAATCTAGATATACTATATGTATTCTAATAATAACAGCACAGTCATTCCAAATCTGTGCTGGCAAAAACAGTTATTTGCTGAAGTCTTTCCTTGAATCTAGCAACTAAGAATTGTATAGAATGTGAAGAAACAATCTAACCCTAGAAATATGTTCAAGAAATAAACCTGACAAGTTTATACTTGAAATCAGAATGTTTTGCCTTCTAATAAAAAGATTTCCCATCTACCATAGGCAGACTCATCTTTCCTTGCCTTATAAGCAACATTATTGTGGTATATCTGTTGTTCCTAGGCAGTTTAATCGGCTGTTTGCAATGTTATCATCTGAAGCAGAGTGGGGTGAGAAGTTTCCATCCAAAGAAATAAAACTTCCTAAAGGTAATGGTTGGAAGAGCCAATTAATAGCTGTGTTAGCTCTCTCAGTTTATACTTCAGTTTCAAAAATGTACAGTACAGTCTGCAATGTCAGCAGGGCAGAACTAGAAATGGAAGCATTAATATTTAGAGTTACAGTCAACAGAGATATACTTAAGAAAGCTGAGAACATAAAGCGGATGGATCATTTCTTTCAGATCTTATTTAATGCTATTTAGATTTCCTATTTCCATTTGTTCCCATATCCTCTTATCAGAGACAATCTTAAGATATAGCATGCCTTCTTTTGTTAAAATGTTGTAAACAGTCCAGGTAATGTTCCACACTGTTTTATGGAAAAGCAAATATAGCTGTGACAACAGCCATCTGGAAATAAACTGATGTCTAAACCTATGGTAT